CGTCATCATCGGCGACCATTAGCCATCTCTCGACCTATACCAGGCCACTCACACACACTCTGATCATTCTCTCCCGTCACTGATATCGGCAACCATTAACTACCTCTCGACCTATACTGGGCCACGCACGCACACCATTTTCATTCACTTGCGTCACCAACATCGGCGACCATCATCTACCTATCGACCCTCATCGGCCACACCCTCACACACTACTCCTTCTCGTCCACTGTCTCTCTCCGCCCGCTACCTGTGACATATCCTAATTGCCCCCACTCACCCCCTCTTTCTTCCCCCAAGGTTCCAACTACCCCACTCCACTTCCCCAAGCATCTCACTCCCCCAGTGGATCTCACTCACCCGGTGGATCCTTCCCTTCTCTAACCTTCACTCACTGCCCCTCCCTAACTCTCTCTCGGCTACAGCTTCCCGCCACACCGTCGCGCCACACCATCCTTCTCACCTCACTCACCCCGCGGGTTCTTCCCTTCACCAGCGTTCCTCCACTGCCTCCCGCTATCTCTCTCTCGGCTACAACCACCCGCCACACCATCACACCACACCGTCCTTCTCACCTCACTCACCCCACGGACTCTTCCCTTCCCCTACGTTCCCCTACTGCCTCCACCTATCTCTCTCTCCGACTACGTCCTCACACCACAACCTCTCCCTATCTCCTTCCGCGTTGCTCACACACCTCACTCACCCCATGGACTCTTCCCTTCCCCTTCATTCCCCTACTGCCTGCACCTATTTCTCTCTCCGATTACGTCCTCACACCACAACCTCTCTCTATCTCCTTTCGCGTTGCTCACACACCTCACTCCCCCACGGACTCTTCCTTCGCTCGCACACCTTCTTTCTCTCTCCCGACCTCCACTCACTCCGCACTCCTATCTCTCTCCTCCCGCGATCTTCACTCGGTCCATATCCTTCCAACCGCCTCACTACACCTATTCACCCGGTCTCTTCCGTACACTGCTACCTCCGTAACCCGTGACCACGCATGCTACACATCCAACCATTTCACACTCAAATCAACACACACATTTAGAGTTAGTTACCGTACCTTCCATTTCCATTTTTCCTGCTTTCGGCCGAATGTGCTCTCACCGTCCGCGATCTCCTCTTCTCCCCGCTCCGCTTCCTTCCTCTCTCCTTCTGGAACCTTCCTTCCTCTCCTCTTTCTCTCTCCCGCTCCCTTTCTTCCCCTGCTCCCCGTTTTCCTTTTCTTTTTTTTTTCTTTTCTTTCCTCTCTTCCTTCCTTCCCCCGCCTCCTACTTAAATCACCTTAGTTTTCCCTCAAAACGGCATCGTTTTCCTCCTTGCAAAACGATGTCGTTTTTCCCTTTCCAAAACGACGCCGTTTCCTCCCCTCTGCAAAACAACGTCGTTTTTCCCTTCCCTCTCTCTTTTTTTTTTTTTTTTTCTTTTTTCTAGTTATTACATTTAGACAACTTATTTTTGAATCACGTGATTAATACAATTTATTATTATTATTATTATTATTATTATTAAGAAATTAACATTAGAGAGAGAGAGAGAGAATTAGTTATAGTCTTCAAAGTTTATTTACCACTTAGGTTACAAAATTTATATACTAATAGAAAAATATGAAGTGAAAGAAGAATACACGGGGTGGGACGTGATTGATAGAGGCCGTTTGTAGCCTCCATTCATTCAATCCTAAAACTATATCTATATGACTTTTATAAATATTATACCTGTAAATGTATACTTTTTTAATTAATTAATTAAATCTTTTTTAAGGAAAAAAAAATTAGTTTATGCGGTGGGCATGGTGCCACGTGTACGTCTACGTGGCCATAGTTTCTCTTATAAATTTTTGTACCTTCGCTCCAATCAAAATTGACGTTTGGGTCCAGTGGATTTACCCTTTCTTTTTGGACTTAAATGGGCCCCTACATTACCCGTGGCCCATGGACAGAAATTGAGAAAAGCACATACAGTGATAAATTTTTTATTTTTTATATTTTTTATCGAACCCTTCAAACCCAATTAGACCATTTTTAGCATGACAAACTTTTAAATCTCAAAATTAATTTAAATTTTATATTTATTAGCGAAATAATTGTTATGATTTAACGAGAAATAATATGTTAATTTTAAACCCAGTTATTAATAATAAATAAATATTTAATAAAAAAACATCAATTAACATTTAATAAAATAAAAAAAACAAGAAAGTTCCAAAGTTCAGCCCAGAGACAATTCTTGAAGTGCTCCTAAATTGGCTTCTGTTGTCCGAATAGTTTCTCTAATAATTTAACCCGAACTCAGTTTCGTGTCCACCAACACCTTGGATCAAATCCCCGGTTGGTAAAAAAATAAATAATTTATTAATTTTTTAGAACGCAATATACATGGGCAGCTAGTTTTAGGCACAAGAACAAGGAGCGGTAATCGTAGTAGAAGCAGAAGCCTGTTCTAACTTTCTCAATTTAACCTCATTGAGAACACGTTTGGCCCAGTGAGCAAAAAGAGTTTGGTTGTATCCAATTCTGCCATCTTTGAAAATTGACATGCAACGACGATCATCATCTGGGTAAGGGCAGTTTTCCCCATCTGGGTCTCGCCATGCACCTTCGTGTCTCATCCCAGCCCAACCAGCCAACCAGTGGAACACATACTGACCCACCCCGGCCAGCTTTAGCCACCCCTTTGGGAAGAATTCCATCACACTGCTGTTTTTCTCCATTAGAAACATGTTTGTTAATTGTGCTCCGTGTGGAGATACAAGAATGTCTGTCATCCCCATCAATTTCACCTGTCCAAAAGTCAAGAATCTTCACTTTAAATAATTTTTTGATTGGTGATTTTCATGGAATATGATTTAAAGTAACATTACCTGTTGGCAGACGGTCAGATTATTGGAGTAAGCTATAGTTAATTGGCAGCCATCAACTTTCTCACACTCGTTCTTGAAGATCTTGATAACTTCTGTCTCGTTCTTGAACGATCTTGCTCCAGTTCTCATAAACAAGGTTAAGCCGATCATGGGTGCAGATGCTGATGCTGATGATGATAATAAGATAAGCTCTTGGGTTATGTTACAGTACTCTCGTGCCTTACATCTGATTAAATCAAAAACTTCTGTTCTCCTTTGTCTAGACATTCCTCCTTCGTTGTGTCTCATTACTACCGCCTTCTCGAAGCAAACTGGTTGCTCCTTTTTGAAATCAATACCTTGAAATCCTTCAATCTTTGGATCTTCACCGAACGTGGCCCCCATCAGAGTTCTTACCCAAGAACCCATTTTCAACCTGAGTTCACCCCAGTGGTAAAGAACCCACCTTTTGGGCGACTCATGACAATGATTCATTCTGTGCCAAGCAACAAATGGAACCATAGCTGATAATCCATGCCATAAGTTATCGTAGTTGTAATGGTTATACGACACAAAAGTCAGTCCCTCCACGAAGGTAGCATTGAGAGGAAGTGCCTCGGGCCAAGCCAAGGCGTAATAGTTCCATGACCCGTCGTGGGTATCTTTTCCCTTGAGACAAAGAAGCCTGCCTTGTGAATTTTCAGAAGGGAATTGCTGGTACTGCACTTCTTCTTCCTCGTGAGTATCGTAGACGGAGCTCATGAACCACGTGTGGCCTTGAAGGGGTTTGTCGGCGAAACGGAGATCTTTGAGAGGAAGAAATGTGACAGAGTTACGAAGCTTTTGGATCATGGAGGAGATGAGTTGATCTTGTCTGGGTGTTATGCAGTTGGGGTTGAAGGAAAGGGTGTTGTTGTTGTTGTTGTTGTTGTTGGTGATGATGAATTGTCGCAGAAGAGACCACGAAGGAGATTTAGGAGTGGTGTGAAGGGATTGAATTTGGAAGAGAAGGAAGAGGATGAAGCAAACGGAGGTGAAATAGATGAGAGAGAGTTTAGGGAAGCGGATCAAAGAGAGATGTTGGTTTTGTCTTGTGTTTTTTGTGGGTGTGGGACTGAGGATTCTGCCGCCTGGCTCTCGATGCTGTAGTTGGCTTGTCATGGCGGCCGATGAGCCAAGGAGGAGATGGGTGTTTGGAATTTGGAGTTTTGGGAAACGGGTGAAGACGAAAAGTTGGATTTCAGCTCAAAAAGATGAATTGGTTGAAGAGACAGATCCTCATATCAAGCTCATTCACTTCCCAAAGTGAAAGAAAAATGAATAAAGTAGAGAGAGCCGAACGGAATTCATGAACAGCAAAGTATTGTTTATTCAGAAAATAGGGAGTAATTAATGGACAAGTGTTGAGGGATACATTTGAAAAATCATAGCTTTACCTTTTATTTGTTTATTTAACTTAATCGTATTTTCTTAAAAGTACATTAATGAAAAAAAAAAAAATGGATATTGACCATAATTTTTATTAATAAAATCATATACTTAAATAGAAACTAATTATAATATATACAAAAGTTAAAAATTCAATTTAAATTTATAATTTTCTTTTTGTTTTTTGTTTTTAAATATTGGATATACCTAAAAACTACACATGGGGATAGACTCTTCAACTTTTGTGTATAATATCGCCAAATAAAAATACTAGTTGAATTTTCAACTTTTATATTATTAAAATTATTTGACCCACCCCTAAATCATGTGTATGCGTACCTTGTTTACTTCTCTCTCTCTATATATAAATACTTATTAAAGCTGGTCCTATAAATATTTAATTCTATATATATATATATATATGTGTGTGTGTGTGTGTGTATATACTGTTACAATATATAATTAACTTGCGCTTGATTTGCAATTTCATCGTAAAATAAAATAACATAAATATAAATTTTGGTTATATATCGATTCTTTAATTTAACGTAGTGGGTAAGGTTGGATCGCACTAACCATATCATTTTTTTTTATAATTATATATATATATATATATATAAATTTGTTATGCTTTTTTTTTTAAAAAAAAATTCCAAGCGCAATAAATATATATATATATATATATATGGTCAATAATTGTTAGTGGTTTTTTTTTTAATTAGGAATAATTCTAGTAAAATTTATACCATAGAAGTCAAAACTTTTTCTTGCAATGACTTTTAAAAATGTAGAGAAATAATATTTGTAGTAGAAAATTGGTCAAGCAATTCGGTACTTTACATTAGTCGTTAACATCCCACTTGGGCATGGCTGCTTGCTTATAAGATTTGTCTGTCCTTCAGATATTACTCAAATTTTCTACAAATGGATTAAATCAAATTAGTTTTAAAAAAATGTAAATTTATTTACCAATTACAGCCATCTCTCAAGATGATTTTCTCTTCTTCCTCTTTACTTCAACAACTTTCTGGTGCTCCTCACCCTTCTTTCGGAGTTTCTAATGTTTTCAAGTCCTTTCCTGGCTTCAACCTTGATTTCTCAGCTACTTTGTCAAATCTCGTGAGCTTCAGCATCGTCGGTTTAGGATGTTTTATCTACTTTGTCAATTCGGGTGCAAAAATTAAACAGTTTCAATGTGGTGATGGCGATGAATTTGTCCAACACTAATTTAAGACTTCTGCTTGTATAAGATTGTCGTGTCTCTACACTCCATAACAGAACGGTATGGCTGAATGTATCGTTGACATTATGATTTTTTGTACCATTATTATGATTATACAACTAAAGTCTTGTTAGGCTATAGTTCTAATCGTTCATGTAGACTAGAACTCTACCTTTTAATATTATAAATAAAACCACCCTGCATTGTTTTTCATACTTGTTCAATCACCATGGAGTGATACTTTAATTTCACTACTCTCTTGGGTGGTGGGGGTAGTGTGAGACCAGCACATATTGATTGGTCTTTTAGAGTATATGCACCAAAGTAACATCTCTAATCACCCAAAATAAAAGGAGAGATTTGAGAGAATTGCATCGATAAAGGAATTTGTAATGTCATTCTTGATCTAGAACAAGCGTTCTTTGAAAAACAGGATATGGTTTCTATGTTTCTAGTCCTTACTCTGTACTACTCTATCTAACTCTATATTAGATATAAATCAACTCAATTCATAAGTGATACCCAGCAGGCAAACTACATGAGTATAAAGGTTCATCAATATTGATATGTCGGAATGAATTCATTCTTCCCCTAAGGGAAATCAAACATTCTAAAAGTGTCTTTCTAATTTCAAATATTTTAAAGTGCAAGTTTCAGAAAGAAAATAATATAACCAAAATAATCTTTGTAAATCATTGTATTTATTTACCATGTGAATTTAATCCACAATATCAATACATCCCTAAGAGATTGATCAATCTGTTAAAAAAATTTCAAAATATAAAGATGAATCCTTTTTCCTACTTCAGCAGATGGCAGCACAATTATCTCAAGCTCACATACACCATCTCATCTCACAGAAATTACCCAGCTAAAGCAGAGTATTCCCTAAACGGCAATCAACATACAGGTATGCATGTAGATTTGTACATTGACAGTTGGAAATGAAGTGGTATAAGAAGTATAAACAAACTAGTAACCACTTCTATAATACAATTTCTAAGGCAAAGAAGAAGTATCAGTACTCGCAGACTATGATTTAATAGGATGGTTCAACGAATAAAATCAAGAAACGACAAAATTTGAATGTGTGAAGAATCATGCAATACATGATAGCATGTGGAGTAAAAGGGAAAAAAAAAATAAAAACAACGGCAATGTTTCATTTTCTGTGAACAAAATTATTATATCAGTTCTTGTCTACAACTGTTCTGAGACAAATAACATCAGTTGAATAGTGGTGATAAAGAAATACCAGAGCTCATAATTATGCATTCATGACAAAAATGGAGTCGAAGTGTTATGAAGCTATGAAATTTATCCATAAAAAGATGCCAGAAGGCAAAAGGTGCAACGAAAAACCTCTGTTGTTCAGAGACTGCAAATCCAGTTCCCGATGATGTTATGAGCCTGCAATAAATCATAAGAAATTTTTTGTCTCTGACATTTCAAACTAGATAAACGCTTCCACCAAGCTGTTGCCAGATCATTTTAAGCTCAGTCAGATTTGGATTCATTTGTGGGGATGCAATTCTTTCGAATCAGAAGCATACGAAAATCATTGGCCTTTGCAGTCGAAACAGTCTCGGTGAATGCATCCAGAACTCTATTGCATGCAGAAATATCAAAGTTTGGCGTGGTAGATTGCATCCACTGATCAATAACTTCTTCCACTTCTTTCAAATGCCCAAGCATCAGATATGAAGAAAGGACACAAATGTAATTTCTGCTTGTCATTTTTTGTTTAGTCATTCTCAACGATTTCCATATTTGGTCAATTTTATCTTTGTTGCCTAAACCTGCATATAGAATAATTAGAAAGTCATATGTTATCCATTCTCTTTGTGTGATACCTTTCTCTGCTTCCACCAAGGGACCAGACTTGGCATCTACAAGGTGACTGGTGGTGACATATATGTTCGCAAGATTTATGTATCTAACCCAGTCATCATTGCAACCAGAAGCACGGGCCATTTCATTTAGGATCCTTCTAACTTCATCAATGCCAAGAGTCGCAGCACATGAACTTATCCATAGATTGTACGTGAAAATATCAGGGGCAATATTCTGCCGTTTTAATTCTTCAACAACTGTAGGCACCTTCTCCACCTGCCCAACTGACATGTACAAGGTCATCATTTCATTGTATATGAGAGCATTGAAGGGCAGCTTGGATTCCTTTATTCTATTGAACAGTTCTTCAGCCCTTTCAGTCAATCTGGCTCCAGCATAAGAATGTAGTAAAGCAGTGTATGTTTCACAAGTTTTTGCTGTCAGAGGTAGACCCTCAAAGTAGTGTTCAGCAGCTTCAATTCCAAAAACTTTTGTCATTAGGTCAATCCGCACTGCATAGTCAGAATCTAACAACTCAAACTCTTCACGGGCAACCATCCATTCTGATATCTGCTAGCTTATGTCAGTTCCATTATAGAATTTACAGTAACTAACATAATTGCATAGACAATCAAATTCTGCAATAAGTAGCATATTTCTAAGGCCAGGAATCAAGATAAAAGATTCACCAAATTTCAGGTAAGAGTAAAGCAGAAAAATAATTCAATAAGAGCAGAAGCATATCTGACCAAATAGCCAAGATTTCACAGTTCATGAAACATTCCCCTTTTTGTGCGTAAAAGAAGAAATATTATCAGAAGAGAAGAGGAACAAGGTTGTGATTCCAAATTTCCCCACAAGACAGATATGGAAGGCAAAAGTACCTCCTAGAGTTGCAATTTTTGCATGGGAAGCAAGTAGAGAGTGCATTTTGACAATTGACAAATTGAAATCTAGGGGGTTGATCCTCCCCAATCGGTGCTATCTGTGTTTGGAGAATGAGGAAAGCTGTGTGCATGTTCTGTTGTGGTGTCCAGTGGCGTTTGGGTTGTGGAGTGCTATTTATAGCATTATTGGCATTAGCTGGGTGATGGCTGGGCCTATTAGGGAGGAATTGTGAGCTTGGGAAAGGATTCAATTAGAAAGAAATTTGAAAAATCTCATTCCATTAACTTTGTTTTGGGTTCTTTAAAAAGAAAAAAAATTCTAGAGTTTTTGAGGGTAAAGCAACTGATTTGTATACATTGAGAGACAGATAGATGTATTATTTTAGATTTTTATTGTTAGGATATGATATGATATGATTACTGATGTGAATTTTGGACATGTCATTGACTCACTAAGTACATTGTAAAGTTTTTATATAGGAGCGGTACCCCTGTTTATTTGGTACCATATTAATGCATATATACACTTTTTATTTCAAGAAAAAAAAAGAGGAACAAGGTAAATCAAGCAAGGCTTAGGCATCCACCAATGAAAAGAAAAGCAGCAAAGAAGATATAAGGCTGAAACATCAGGAGATAAAATAAATCAATAGAGATCAGTCACCCAATCTCTATGTCAAGTACACAGAGAAATATCCTTTATAAAGTCCATGCACCTCGCCCAAAGAGAAGCCAAAAATGTCATCCTATCCTCGCGAATAAGTGAAGGGGAAAAATGGTCCTAAAAAATTCTAGCATCCTAAACCTTATGAAACAGTAAGAGTAAACAGATGAAGTCAGAAAAACTTCAGCGCCCTAGAGATGTTTAGGAAATAGAAATCCTCTGCTCATTCCTCACAGCATAAGAAAATACAAACAGCTCAATATTGAAAGGTTCTTTTGTTCTGCTAACTAACCACCTTTGTTCTCCTTTGTGTTTAAGAGAGTAGGACTAGTTCAATTTCATAAAAATGACATCTTGTCATAGGATAAAATTTGATAGAAAAAGGAAAAACCCCTCTAACTCTTATGATCTCTCTTTCTGGTCTTGTATTCTTCTTCATAACTCTTTAACATTCATTATGACTGCATAATTGCAATCTTTCATAGAAAAATCCTAAACGTGCCTTTAGAGATGAATTTTCTTTTCCTTTTCCTTCAAGTCATCCCATATTTTTTTTTCCTGAACTAACAAAGGCCCTCCGTCACTATCCTGTCAAAGCATGTGTTCTTGCATTTGCATTTCTGCGTGATTTTTTTTTCTTGTTAGTTACATGAAGGCAAAATATATACAATTTTGCCTTGCTGATTTCAGGGACCAGAAAGCAAGTATACATACTATTTGCAATCCCATTTATGTGTGGATATAGTACGAAATTCCAACCTTTCTAATTGTTGGTGTATCTTGCACAAGTAAACATGAAGAAATAAGCTTCATGTGAATTTCCGACTCTTAATTCCTAAATTTGACTACCTTTTGTCATAAAGTACGAATTAATCATCAATGCTTCACCCAATTCACATTCATTTCTAATCCATTAACAAATAAAACCTAATTCTGGAGCTCAAATCAGCTAAAGAAACTAAGTACAACGGACCATTTAATTTGAAATTCTAGTAGAAGATTACAGGTAAGTCGGTAAGAAAATTATAATTTTTAGAAATGCTTGAGGGAAATCGATTAGATGCACTGGCCATCCATGTCTATCTCGTCCATGCATAAGTTTTTTTCCCGAACCTTATAACTCTCAGATATGAAATTTAGCACAAGGAATTGCAGCAGACATTTTCATTAATTTACTCCTCTCATAAAATTTTCCAGTTTCTGTTACCTAAATACCTCAAAGACAGGTAAAACCTCCAGTCTGAATCTTTACCATCATTTTCCTACACTACCAAGAAAGGTACAGAAAAGATAATATCTCTAACGCAAAAGAAAAAGGAAAAAAAAGTTAAAACAGTGGAAAACCTCGAGAGCGTGCTTGAAACGCCGATAATTTCTGAGCTCTTTGGAAATCTGCCGAAGCTCATAAATGGTAATTTGGTTGCCTTCGTGAACCCATTTCTCGAGGACATTGGTTGCACTTCGCTTAGGGAGTCTAAGCCTGAAAATACGGCTCTTCAAATCGTCTTTCTCCTCTGGAATCGGAGATTCTTCGATGCATTCGCCGGTTAAGACGCTTGAAGAGAATGATCTTGAGATATTGCTTTTCTTATTGGAGAAAAGTAAAACTTGAGATTGCTTGTCTTTATAGTTAAGAACACTGCCAATTCCCAAAAGAGAGAGAAGATTAAACTGCTGGTTTTCAGAAAAGCAGGTCGGTCAAGAAACAAGAAGAAAAGAGTTCAGCATTAAGAAAGACGGAAAGAAAATTATGATACTTTTTTAACTAGAATATTGGGAGTTTAGGAACGGATTCAATTTTAGAGCTCCTGAAATCAATAAACAAAAAGCTCGACGTTCCAAACTATGGGTGAGAGTTACAAAATATACAGAGATTCTAGAGTTTCTCGGAGCCGAACAAAAAGAGTAGAGCAAATAAAATGAGAATTTGCAGTATGCTTACCGTCTAAGAGCAAGGAAGAGGGAGCGGGTTGTCATGGCTTCTCCAGGTTTGTCTCCGTTCTTCGTCTTCTTTCCAAATTTCGAAGTTCCACTGCGTTGATCATAAAGTTCAGGCCCTTCAGGGCCTTAAGACCGTGTTTGGTTTGCTACATAGAACGGAACAAATCTTTATTTTGCTTTGACGGCCATTGAAATGGACGGGGGTGGGCACATTCCGGTCTAGGCCGAAAAACCAGACCGGAATAGTTCCATGGGTAGGATGGATTCACAAAATCAGTTCAACCGATCGTATCCCGGTTCAATGGTCCGGACCGGTTTAAAAAATATTTATTTGCAAATTGTATATAATCAAAGTAAATTATTTTAATTAATATTTATACACACACATATATACTTAGATCTCTATTTGGTGTCATACACGTATTATAATTTTAAAAATTAATTATAAAATATATAAATTGTAGTTAACTAGAAGTTGAATTCTATCTTATATTTAAAAATTTTAAATAAATAATTATTGTATATATTATCAAAATTATTTTTATATTTAAAAATTTTAAATAAATACTTAATACATATATTATTAAAATTATTTTTATATTTAAAAATTATAATGTGTATAATTTATAATTAATTAAAATTTAAATCCTATTTTTATATCTTAAAATTTTAAATAAATAATTATTATATATATTATCATATTAATTTTTTATACTCTATTTAATATTTTATCTTTTTTACAGTAAAATATATACAATTAATATTAACGTGTAAATTTTAAATAAATAATTATTATATATTATCAAAATTATTTTTATCCTTTGAAGTATAGGATATATAATTTATAGTTGATTAAAAACTAAATCTTATTTTAATATTTTAAAAAATCAAATAAATAAATATTATGTATAATCATATGAATATTTTTATAGTATCTTAATCTTATCTCTATATATTATATGTAATTATAATTATTACATTAACTTTATTTTTACATTTTAAAATTTGAAAGAATAATATTAATATTTGATTTTTATACAATACATGTATTTATAAAAAATTTATTATTTTTATCTTTTATTTAAAACAATAAAAATATTTCATTTGACATTTTTTACTATACCTTCCTTAGACATATACATAGATTGATTGACATGCTAACTTTACTATAGAAACAAAATAACTGGAAGTCCGTTATCCACTATATACAATGGCAAAGAAAAAAAAATAGGGTACGGGAACAATTCCATCAGATTGAAGCTTAGCAACAATTTCATTTTCTGATAAGTTTCTAGATTATGAGAAAGTGTTAAATATAATGTATAAATTAATAAGTCACATGTTTTCTTTATTTAATCACATGCTCTTTTATATTTTTAGTTATCTAAATTAATTATTCTAATCTTATAAATAGTGGGCAAGTGGTAGATATTTTAGGGATGTGTTTATCATAGGGTATTTGGCTGTTAATTTTGTGAGTTTCTGGTTGCAACTTTGGTGTATAAATTTGTTGACTAGAAATAATAAAATCAGATAAGTTCTTCATCATTTCTTTATTCTACTCACTACTTGCTTGATAAAAATTATGAGTGAAGTCTCTAAGTTGTTGCTCTACCTCTCTTGATCTTGCAGTTAAGTAGAAAAGTTTTTTTTTTCCTAACTAGTTTAAAGTTAACATCTGGTATCAGAGCTAGTTTATTCAGGAGATGGCAAACAACTCCATGGATGTAAATTTAACCCTTCCCTCCCTACCATTATTCAAAGGAAATGATTATGAAGTATGGAGCATAAAAATGAAGACTCTCTTCATTTCTCAAGACTTGTGAGAGCTAGTTGAGAATGACTACAATGAAACAGATGTTTCAACTGAAGTTCTAAAAGAATCTAAGAAAAAAGACGCTAAAGCTCTCTTTTTTATTCAACAAGCTATTGATGATAGCATCTTTTCACAAATCCCAACTGAAGCAAAGTCACAAGATGCATGGAATGCACTATAAATGGCCTACAGGGGGACTGCCAAGGTTCAATCCATCAAATTGCAAACATTTAGATGACAATTTGAGGAGTTCTCCATGAAAGATGGTGAGATTATGAAGGCCTATTTTTACAAAATATTGGAGGTTGTTAACTAGATACGTAAATATGGTGATCAACTATCAGAGCAAAAAGTTGTTGAGAAAGTGCTACGAAGTCTTCCAAAGAAATATGATCATACAGTGGCTGCCATAAAAAGAATCCAAAGATTTGAGTCAACTAATAACTCATGAATTGCTTGGCTCATTGCAATCTCATGAAAATAAGCTGAACAAACGTAAAGAACGTGATGCTGAAAATGCATTTCACACAAAGATATATTTTTCTAAAAATTCTAATGAGTCAAGTAGTAAACAAGGGCGATGAGGCTATGCTGGTCATGGACGAAAAGGAGAGGTGGTCGAGGTGGTGGACATGGAAGCTATAATCGCAGGCAAGATACCAAGAACAATGGTGGAGCTCAAAATCAGAAGCTACAATGTTTTTATTGTAAGAAAATTAGTCATATTGCAAAGTTTTATCGACTTAAAGTTGAACAAGCAAAATTTACGAAAGAGAAGGAAAAAGAAGATGAGACCAAAAGCTTGTTTATGACTTATGTTGCTAGAAATAAAAGTTTGTCAAATATTTGGCATGTGGACAACGGTTGCAGTAATCATATGACAACAGATTTGAATGTTTTCATCAGCTTAAATAAGATAATTAAGAAGCAGGTAAAAATAAGAGATGATATGGTTCGTGAAGCATGTGGAAAAGGGACTGTCAAGGTAAATTTTAATCATTTCAGCTACATTAAAGATCTTCTTTATGTACCTGATTTAGATTAAAATTTGTTGAGTGTGGAGCAATTTTTAAGAAAAGGGTATGCACTTATTTTTGAGAATATGATATGTGTTGTTTTTTTTTATAAAATTAAGAAGCATTTGTTGTTCAATATGTCTATGGCTGATAACAATATGTTTTAGTCTTTTTGGAGTGCAAAAATCAAGCACTTGCAGTCTTTTTGGATGATAATGAC